CCCCCCCCCCCCCCCCCCCAGGAAGGACAGGCCTCTGGACTCAAGTAACACAGAGGACGAAGGAACCCTGAAGGCATCCATGTGGCCACCGGGAGCCCAGGCGGCGGTCCGGGGCTTCCGGGTGTGATGGGCCGACATGCCGTGCTCACACCCCCAGACTCGCAGGCTTGCGTCAGCACCTCCCGTCTCCTACCCACACACGTACACGTGCACATGCCTCACGGAAACACTTCAGCTAATCCTACTAGTTGTTTTTTTTTCTTTTCCAAGATTTTTTATTTGAACGCTGGTGCCCAGACTGCTGTGTGCCTCTAGCCGGCCCTGAAGTGGCAGCGTGAGGGGGACTACCCGACGACAGCGCTCACTGCTGGCTCCCGGCTCCCCGGCCCCAGTGCCTCTTGCTGGCCTTTCTGGTCCTGCTTCACTTCCTCAAAAGGCAGAAATAAGAAAGGACTATCTGAGTCTGCACAGAAACCTGCGCCGTGGTCACAAAAACCTTCCCTGAGACCTGGGGTCAGATTGGGACCCAGATTTCCAGGACGCCCCCTGACTGTGTCTGGCCGCATACGCCAAGCCTCCCCTTTGTAGCAGAAAGAGGATTTTGTTGTTGTCGTTTTGTTTTGGAGACACGTTTCTCCTTAACGAGGGTGGACAATCCTCTGGGCTTGGTCTAAGGACCACAAACCTTCACGCCCCTTGCTGCCTGGGCCCCTGATCTCTGTCACCTACCAGTGCGGCAGCCCTGAGTTGCCTGATCTGCTTGTGGAGCCGTTGACACTCTTTGTACTTCTCTAAGAAACAGGCTTTGCCGGTCTCTACCTTTGCCTGGAGGCGCTCCACCTCTTGCACTAACTGCTCCTCCACTGATTTCTTGTTCCTAGGCTCCTGAAGCACAAGATACACGTCCTCAGAGTTAGGCTTCCTTGGGATCGGGGAGGAATAAGGAACGGAGCCCCTGGGTCTCGGAAAACGTTTAGTGAAAACCGGGGGAACCTCCCCCCTTCCCCAGCCACAAGGACGTCCAAACCCTTGAATGGCTGCGGGTTATTTAACACAGCAATCCCTTTGCTACAGAAGAGGCCACAAAGTCCTCCGTGCCAGCAGCGGCCGGGTGGAGGGAGCTGATGGCAAGGGAGCAGCAAGGACCGGAGCCGAGCGGAGAACACGCGGCCCAGTGAAGGGCGCGGCAGTCACCCAGCCCCGGCTTCGCTGCTGCGCAGGGGACACGGGCTTGGTGCTGCCGGAGCCTCGACGTTTTCAAGAAGCTAGAAGTACACTTTTTTGTTTTGTTTTGTTTTTTCAAAGTGGGACATACTCCCAAGATTGAGTTGTTGGTCACTGATTCAATTTTTGAAACACACCAGCGCGGCCAAATAAACTATTTCTCTGGGCGGCCGATTTGGCTCGGGAACGGAGGTCAGAGAACTGTTTTCCTCTTCATCATGCTAAACTACCGTGTATCTCATGTACACTGGGACTCCGTAGTTGACTGAGCGATGACTGAGTGAATGCGTGACGCCTGAGTGGTATGATTTATAAACCCGACAGCTGCATACCCTCCGGACATCAGGGTTTCTCATACCCTTCGATCGATTCAGAAAATGGGGCTTCTTGGTACCTGTCGTCACCCTGAGGCCTCTTTTCCAACATTTTATTCTACTACAGGAAACGATCAGTCGATTAGGCTTTCACCACTCTGTTACTGCAGCTCAGAATAACTTAGAACTCTAACTGCTCATGTTATTTAATCACAACAAAATCTGTTTCGACGGCTGTGATATTCTCCAACTGTAGAGCTCAGCTCTATCACCGTTAATTTGTCTGCCCCCAAAAGAACCCTTTAAGGAGGGCGTAGGGGTAACTCTGGGTGGAAACCCAGTCCAGTGCTGCATTTAGGACAACCCGTCATGAAGTTTCCCTTTCGATACCAGCCTGCCGTTCACCACGCCGCGGAAACGGCCACCTCTCCGAGACGTTTCGCACATGACAAAGTCTCTGTCCTTTCTGGGCCGCAGGAAAACGCTATGCTCATCGGTGGCTCTTTTATCCTTTCCACCACCTGAAAAGGGACCCTGTCCCTTCCTTCCTGTAGGCGCTCCCCCCCCCCCCCAGCCCAGCTCCCCCCCACAAAGCCATCCAAAGACAGACTTGCCTTTAATGCTTGCTGTCTCTTCAGGGCGCTGGTTTCTTCCTGCTTCATCTCCTCTATTGTCTGCTCCAGCTTCTTCTGGTGCTCCCTCTGCACGGAAACAGATGTCAGTACCGCCGGCGGGGGGGACACAGGCCTGCACGCACTGGGGAAGGGCCCGCTGAGCTGATGAGCGGGCAGGATGCGGACACGTGGGGGGGGGGGGAAGCCTTCCCTTGCCGGCTTCTGAGAACGGCCATGAGGTCCCTCATTTCAGGTGCCTTCCTCCGAGGCTTTCCCGGAGCCAGTGAGAGCCGGGTATATGGCAGAGTAAAGAAAGAACGACACCCATGACACCCACGTTCCCACAAGGGCCTAGAAATGGTCCTTTCTCATCCCTGACTCTACCTGCTGAGTTAAGGTGAGAAGAAGCTGGCCCTTCTCCTCCGTCAGTCGCTCCAGCTGCTCTGTCTTCTCTTGATCTCCCTGAATGAGCTTCGCCATTTCCTTCTCTTGCGTTGACAGCTGGGCCTGGAGCAAAATGAGTGACGATGACCAAGGTATGAAAGAAGGACAAGGGAGCAGAAGCCTAACACAAAGGGGCGGGAGTGTGTGTTCCGCAGCGGCTCCCAGCTGTCCGAGAGCCCTGCAATGTCTTCTCCTCAGCTCTCCCTCACACCCTCCGGAGCCAAGATTGGAGTGAGGGAAATTCAAGCAACCACTCTTGAAGGCACAGCTCCCTGAAAACAAGAGTGACCCAGCTGCTTTCTGGTTTACGTTCTAGGCTTTTGAGAAAGACTTGGCTTGAAGGGATTTTGTAGCTGAAAGAAAAAAGTTTGGAAGCCACTGGTAGAGCGGACGGTCCTCCATCTTAAGAGCTCACGATAAATATGAGCTGAACAAGTTACTCAGTTCCCGGCGGACTGGGGTTACAAAAGTAACGGTGTTGGTGGCGGTCACCACCAGAAAACCCCCTGAAACTTTAGTCTGACGTTTTACTTTTTTAAAAAAATGCATTTATTTATTTTTGAAAGACAGAGACAGAGCATGAGCAGGGGAGCAGCGAGAGAGGGAGACAGAGCACCTGAAGCAGGTTCCGGGCTCTGAGCCATTAGCACAGAGCCTGAAGCAGGGCTTGAACCCAGGAACTGCGAGATCATAACCTGAGCCGAAGTCATCTGCTTAACCGACTGAGCCACCCAGACGCCCCTGGCCTGATGCTTTGAAAGGCACACTTTGGGCACTCACTACAGTGCAGCGTAGCTCTCTCTCTCTGGGCCACCAGGCAGGCGTGGTGGCGAGGCCAGGACAACGCACTGCGGCAAAAGGTCCGGCATCACCTACCTGGAGCTCCTCCACTCTGACTCCCATCTTCTCGTTTTCTGAGGACATCTTCTGGTTTTGTTCTTTCAGTCTGCGGAGGTGAAAAACACGCGGGTCAGATCCCCCAGGCCTTCAATGATTCAAGGCCGCGGAGTCAGTTTAAAATCCACTCCTCTTCAGTCCTGTTTCGGCTTCCTGACCTCACCGCATGCATTCAACGCTTCACATTAATACTTGAATTCAGGTTATGTCTCCTTACCAGTCGGATCCTGATTCTCTAGCCTGGAATCACTCCTGTCACTGTCCTAATAGCAAGACTGTTTTCTAGGGAATTCTGGAGAACTAATCGGAGGCATGCCAAGGGTGCCTACAACTCACAGCTCCTCCCGACCGAGAACACACTTACCGCAGCAGCTCCGTCTCCCAGCTCTCCTTCTGCGCCTTCACTTTCTGTTCCAGCTTCTGAGTGGTGCTCTTTAGAATTTCTAGCTCCTCCTGCAGATTGGAACGTCAAAGGTACCAGCCATTTCTAAGACGATGTTTAGTATCTCAGGCATCCAACAAATATTTACGGAAGACTTATTACACGTCAGTTGCTTATTACATGTCGTGACACAACAGTGAGTGCAATGTCCAAGTAAGGGGATTTTCGTATTAAAGTGTTCTCAGGGGCGCCTCAGGGGCTCAGTCGGGTAAACGTCTGACTTCAGCTCAGGAAATGATCTCTCAGCCTATGGGTTCGAGCCCCACGTCGGGCTCTGTGCTGATAGCTCAGAGCCTGGAGCCTGCCTCGGCTTCTGTGTCTCCCTCTCTCTCTCTGCCCCTCCTTGCTCATGCTCTATTTCTCTGTGTCTCCAAATAAACAAACATTAAAAAAAAATTTTATAAAAAATAAAAATAAAATGTTCTCCATCTGTTCTTTCCACAAAACGTATTCACCTTAACTTCTCTTCCACTGGAGCTTGTATTTGTCCGTTAATTCATTACACAAATATTCAGGGAGTGCCTAGTACTATAGTGCACTGTACACAGAGCAGCAGAGGAAATAAAGTGGCTTTTCTCTTTGAAAGGTGCTGCCCAATAAATTCATGAATGTTGCACATGTAATTAAAGTCGAGTAGCCACATTTAAAAAAGTAAAAAGAAACAGATACAATTCATTTTATTAAGAGCACGTTTAACCCAGTAGTCTAAAATATTGTTTCAATAGATAAATAAAAAGGAAATATTTTCATTTTTTTCGTACGAAGTCTTCAAAGTCCGCCATATACTCTGTGCGGACAGCAGCTCACAACACGCCGCGCCTCAAGTGTTCAACAGTCACATGTGGCTGGCGGCCACCATACTGGTTCTAGACATTTGTTCTTTTCTTTCCCAACTTCCTTCTGCACTGACACCAAACCAGGGCATCAATAATAATTCGCTGCTTTTATTTACCTTTTTAATTAATTTTTTTAACTCACTGCTTTTAGCTCCAAGTCTTACAAATTTACAGTCTTTTAAAAATAATTATTTTTATGTTTATTATTTATTTTTGATTAAGAATTTTTTAAAATGTTTTATTTATTTCTGAGAGAGACGGCATGAGCAGAGGAGGGTCAGAGACAGAGAGAGACACAGAATCTTAAGCAGGTTCCGGGCCCTGAGCCATTAGCACAGAGCCTGATACGGGGCCCAAACCCAAGAACCGTGAGATCATGACTTGAGCCGAAGTCCGATGCTTAATCGACTGAGCCACTCACGCACCCCCATTAAAAAAAAAAAATGTTTTATTTATTTTGAGTGCGTGGGGGTACACGCAAGTGGGGGAGGGGCAGAGAAAGAGCGGCAGAGGGGGAATCCCAGGGAGAGACTCTCCTAACAGCGTAGAGCCCGATGTGGGGCTCAATCTCACGGAATTGTGAGATCATGTTCTGAGCCGAAATCAAGAGCTGGATGCTTAACTGACTGATCCACTCACAGGCCCCTGAGCTGCTGGGCCATTTAAAGGATTAAGTGAAGTGATATGCTTAATTACAGTGGTACCCAGTAGGTACGAGTAAATACTGGCTTGTGTTATCATTACAGTCGGTAGTGAGTAGGTAGGAGAGCTAACCAGAGAACCCAGACCTTCGGAGTCCTTGGCTAGAACCTAGCAGTGAGCTCCTGGCCAGACACTGATTCTCGACAGATTGTGAATTACACACCTATGCCACCTGTGTTGTCTCACTGCCCTTGATGGGCCAGATCTGTATCCTGGACTTGTCATCCACACTTCTATCCCAGCCCACGGTTGAGGCCACTACAGGCCGTGTGTGACAGCAGAGCATAAAGAACAGTCGGTCTGGGAGGTCAAGGGTAGTGGGTCCTGACCCAGTGTGATTGCTAAGTTGACCTCTTCCTCTCTCCGCTGGGCCTCGGGTTCCCCTTCTGTAAATCAAAGGCTCTACAGACGGTGACTGCCAAGGTTTGTGTGTGTGTTCTGGAAAGTCCTAAGGTATGACCTTGGGGTGTTTAGTTTATGGTCTTTAGAGAGGACTCTCCTCTCTAGCTCCTCGCCTTCTCAACTCTCATTTACCACCTGTAGATTTGAAGGATGTTTTGAAAGAGGAGCAGCAAGGGCTTGGGATAACTTCCAACCCTGCCTCCATACTCTCTTCTCCCTTGATGCCTGCATCTAGCCGGGCAGAGAAACTGTTTTCTGTGATACACACGAACCAGGAAGAGGTAACGCTGCCCACGTGTGACCCCTGGCTCCACCATCACGGATTAGCTGTATAAGAGCTTACTTACCCTTCAAGCCTCAGGTTACGCATCTGTAAACTCGGGGTGATGGCACTACCTACTCCAGAGTTTAACTAACGTAATCCACAGCAAACTGTAACACGGTGTCTATTCACAAATAGGAGCATCAGGGAGGAAGACCACAGGCCAAAGAGAAAGTGGTGCCAGAGAAGAGATACCACCCGCTTCCGACCTCTGCACTCCACGTTCCTATTTGTTTTGTTTGTTTGGTCGGTTGGTTCGTGTGCGGCCAGCGGCCGTACCTGCGTCTTGTGGAGCTCAGCCTGCATGTCTGAGTTCCGCTTCTGGAGGCCGTCGCAGCTGTCCTTCAGCTCCTGGTTTTCTTTGCAAAGCTCCTTATTGCGCTGCTCGACTTCTTCCACCTCGCCCTACGGAAGAGCATTCCAGACATTCACATTTTCAGACGAACAAAATCAAGGCCATAAAAAGTTAAAAAGTGGCTCATCTTTCTGGGGTGGGGGGTTGATTCCGACTGCATCCCCAGCTTTGTCTCTGCACCCCCTGCCCACGGCCGTCACTGCTCTCCACGGCCACTCGGCACAGATGACAGGCTGAGCTCCCCTTGGTGGGCTCCTTGGGAGTGTGTGAGGGGGCGAGGCAGTGACCCAGCATGGACTGGGGGACCCAGTCAGGAAGCCCAGAGAAAGGGAGATTATACAAATGGATGTCAAGACCCATTAACAGCATGTGTGACTCTGTCTACAAGGCTGGGACAGGATACAGGGTACGAAGAATCCAGTTTTGACCAAGAGGCGTATCAACAAAAGACGCCATCTCAGTATTGGTTTGTGTTTATTTTCCCCTGACCCTACGGGTGAAGACATCTTTGACCATCTTTCCGCCGGAGTATCTTCCAGCTCATCCAATGTCACATCATCAGATTAAGAGAAATGGAGATGAACACAAGAATTAGAGAAGTCTCCCAATAATTATTAAAATCCTGGACTAGACCTATTAGGACAGGTACGTGGACCATAAGGTACTTGGCTAAGAAACGGCTCAAGAAATGTTAGGATTTTAATCAAGATACGTGGGGTTGGAAGGTGGTCAAGATTTCAGTAAGAAAACAAGTGAAATATGTTTCGAGAGTTTATTTCTTAATGAGAAGCGAATCATTATATAGACGTTTGAAAAGATTTATCAGCCCAAAAATATATTTTTACTTAAAAAAAGTTAAGAGAAGGAATGACAGAAGAATGTGGATTCTTCCTGCCAATGCTCGGTACTGTTTGTCTCTCCTATTGGACTGAGCTCTTAGAGGTCCAGGACAGTGAGGGATTTAATCGATTCTTCACTGCCTCCCGTAAGGCTGGACAGAAAGAGGGCATCCTATGAAATACTGGGTGAGTAAACGAATCTAATACTCATGTGTGACAGGCTCTGGGTCAGAACTGAGAAATACAAAGAATATTTGGTGTGTCCCTCGTCAAAGGAGTGGATACATTTACTGTGGTGGTAAGATGGGATGATAAAATTAAGTAATTGGAGGGGCGCCTGGGTGGCTCAGTCAGTTGAGCTTCTGGCTTCAGCTCAGGTCATGATCTCACACTCCTGAGTTCGAGCCCTTTTTTGTTTGTCTGTTTTAACTTAAAGTAGGTTCCATGCCCAACATGGGGCTTGAACTCATGACCCTGAGATCAAGAGTCACATGCTCTCCCAGCTGAGCCAGCCAGGCACCCTGTGAAGTTACTCCTCCTTAAATGACAGAAAGGGTTTGAGATGAGAGGCTTACAGACCTGAGTGGTAACCACCAGGATGTCCTCCTCATTTTCGGGACGGAACTGGAAAGGGATACTGGCTCCCCGGACCACACCATCCTGATCCACATAGCAGAACTGGTAATACTCGTCATCCTTGGGCAGGTAATAAGCTAAAAACACAACACGATTTTTAATCCAAAATACAGTCTATTAAGAAAGCTGAGTATCTGGAAGTCTTCTGCCTGCCCTTTTAGAACTTCAGCCCAAGCGAATTGGTCTTGGCTGCCATCTTCAACACCTTTGGTGCAGTAGTTTTCTTACCTTTGAACTGGACTTCCTGCTGTTTGGCTGACTCGCTGTTTAGGTCAACAGGCAAAGTAACCCACATGAAGGTGTAATACTCGCGGGTCGTCTTCCATCCCACCTGCGATGACAAAAGGCTCCCATTCAGCATCTCAAAGTGCTCAGGGGAGAGTCCTGATTTGTGCTATGTCTTCTCAAAATACACTTACTTTTGATCTGTTTATGTTGAAAGTACAATCGGGTGAGTTCATTATAGTAAGATCTACCCACTGTTGGATCAGATCTTTTTTATTATTTTTAAGTTGTTTTAAAGTTTATTTTTGAGACAGAGAGGGAGAGAGAGAGGGAGAGAGAGAAAGAGAGCGTGAGCAGGGGAGGGGCAGAGACAGAGGGAGACACAGAATCCAAAGCAGGCTCCAGGCTCCGAGCTGTCAGCCCAGAGTCTGACGTGGGGTTCGAACTCACGAATCGTGAGATCACGACCTTAGCCGAAGTCGGACGCTTCACTGACTGAGCCACCCAGGGCCCCCCAGATCTTGCTTTTTGACTTATGACAGCTGTCCATGGTACGAGGTCTGATACCACTGGAAACCGGCATACACGCCTGCACGGTCCAGAATACTAGTCTCGGAGGGAAATGGAAACGGGCCATGCCACACACAGGACAAAAGTCTCAAAAATTATTATCACCAAATCAGACAGGGAACGGTGAGTGACTGGGGAAAATCAGGGTTCTGACGCTTGATCCCGCTATCTTCTTACGACAGTTCTTAGAAGAACCTCTTTGATCAGAAAGCCCCCGGGGCGCCTGGGCGGCTCAGTCGGTTAGGCGTCTGACTTCCGCTCAGGTTATGATCTTGTGGTCTGTGAGTTCGAGCCCCACGTTGGGCTCTGTGCTGACAGCTCAGAGCCTGGAGCCTGCTTCGGATTCTGTGTCTCTCTCTCCGTCTCTCCCTCTCTCAAAAATAAATAAATATTTTTAAAAAAAAAAAAAAAGCAAGCCCTTCCACTCTGCTTTCTCCACTGGTCAGTCCTCGCATGTCCAGTCCCGTCTCATCACCCACCCACACTGACCTGGTTAGGCCAGCACATCTTTAAAATGCACTTTTTGAGGGGCACCTGGGTGGCTCGATCGGTTGAGCATCCGACTTCGGCTCAGGTCATGATCTCACAATTCATGGGTTCAAGCCCCACGTCGGGCTCTGTGCTGACAGCTAGCTCAGAGCCTGGAGCCTCTCTCCAGATTCTGTGTCTCCCTCTCTCTCTGACCTTCCCCTGCTCATGCTGTCTCTCTCTCTCAGAAATAAATAAAACATGAAAAAAAAAGAAAATGCACTTTTTGAATAACGTGCATTTGGGGGATGGAGGGGTAAGAGGGTTCTGAGAGCATGAGGCCCCAGAAAACGGAGTCCAGTCTATGGAATGTTCTGTCTTCTGTGTTTTTCTTAACACATGCTTAATGCAGGCTTTTTGGTGCTAAAGGTACTAACAACAATCTGGTCATAATAAAGGCCCCTTCCAGGTATTAGATGCAGTGAGTGAGTCAGGAAATAAGGACCCTGTGAAATATGCCTCAGAGCAGGAAGCCAGCTAAGTGGAAACTACTCTCAGTGAATGTGAAGAATGTGTAAAAGACGGCTCATGTCGTATCTGGAAGGTAAGGGCACGCCGGAGATTAAGAAAGGGAGCCATTGTGTCTTCAAGGGGGGAGCACTCAGCAAATGAGCAGCAAAATTACGTTTACTGATGTTTGCTGACCCTGCCTGAGCCCAGTGGGAAGAAGAGGAGCTAAAAATAAAATTCCACTTTTCTAGATGAAGGAATCGGCGCGGGGCTGGAAAGGCTACACGGAACGCTCATCGGGACCTACGGGGCATGTTTCAAGGACTCATTAGAACACACCCTATCGCTGTGAGCATCCCTGAGCCCACGTGGCCGGTGGTGGTACAGGAAGTGGGGGTTCTATGGTGTCTTCACCCACATCCTGGAGCTTCTTAATGCCCTGTGACCAAAATATCACCTGAGAAGGCCGAAGAGTTACTGCGAGCCGGGAAACGGCTCTGGCCACCTGCGATTGCAGGCCAGGGCTCCCTGACCCGAGTGGCGCTAGTCCGGGCGCGCTTCTCTGACATGTCCCCTCTCAGGGACCTTGGGGACGTGTGAGTGCCCAGGCAAAGGAGAGCCTGGAGCGCAGGACCATGCACCGAAGGTAGGAAAGCCACCTCCCACCTGCTTGAGGCTCTCATCGGTGAGGGCAGCTTTTGCTATATTGAGACAACGAAGAAGGGGATCACACACTCAAAAACGGCTTGCAGGAGCCCGCTTGGTGCCAGGAAGCACCAGTGTCGGGGCTGGCAAGGAGCTGAGGAATACGGTGGACGCTATGCCCCACGACAGCTCAGTTGGTGGAGCAGCTCGACTCTTGATCTCGGGGTTAGGAGTCTGAGCCCCACCTGTGGCGTGGGGGTTACTTCCAAAAGACCATGCTGCTCACCCCATGATCTCACAGTTCGGGAGTTTGAGTCTCACATTGGGTGAGCTCCACTTCTCTCTCTGTCCCTCATGGGATTCTGGCTCTCTGCCCTCACTCACTTGAGCCCCCCAATAATAATAATAATAGTAATAAAACTTTCTTTCAGGCTTCTGGGTAGCTTTTCAAATCAGCAGCTTTATGAACGATGAATATTAGAGGCCATTGTTTGAGTCACCATGTTTGCTTCATTGAGTCATGGCAACACCTCTGAAATGCATGAAGCACTCCAAATACAGATGCATTTAAAAAATGCCTTTAAACATTTGTTTTTAAAAAGCATAGGGGCACCCGGGTGGCTCAGTTGGTTAAACGTCCGACTTTGGCTCAGGTCATCTCGCGGTTTGGGAGTTCAAGCCCGGCGTCAGGCTCTGTGCTGACTGCTAGCTCAGAGCCTGGAGCCTGCTTCGGATTCTGTGTCTCCCTCTCTCTCTGGCCCTCCCCTGCTCACGCTCTATCTCACTGTCTCTCAAAAATAAACATTAAAAAAAAAAAAGCCTCAGATTTTCATTTGGTTTATGGTTAAGTCCCTGCTGGAAGTTGCTAAGTGCTTGGAAAATACAATCAGTCTAAGCAAGACAGAAATGTGACCGTGTTGCCAAAAAGAAAAAAAAAAAAGTTACAGGCTATATTTCAAAGGTTGATTTTTTTTTTTTATATTTTTATTTATTTCTAGGAGAGAGAGAGACAGCATAAGCAGGGGAAGGTCAGAGAGAGAGGGAGACACAGACTCAGAAACAGGCTCCAGGCTCTGAGCTGGCAGTCAGCACAGAGCCCGACACGGGGCTCGAACCCACGAACCACGAGATCATGACCCAAGCGAAAGTTGGACGCTTAACCGACTAAGCCACCCAGGCGCCTCAAAGGTTGATTTTTTCTATTACCCACGTCTGCACTGTCCTGTATGAGCCACCAGCCACAGGAGGCCATTTAAATTAATCAGATCTTAATTACTTCACTGGCCACATCGTCAGTGCTCCATAGCCACATGTGGTTAAAGGCCACTGTCCTTCCTGGACAGTGAACGTATAGCTGAAGGTACAGCTCCCTTGTAGAAAGTTCTACTGGACAGCCCTGTTGCATACAGGGCAGAAAAATACCTACTACTATCTTCTTCCAAAACAGGAAACACTCGGATGTGTCAGTTTTCTGAACATCCTTTATTTATTTTTGAAGTTTATTTATTTTGAGAGCGAGAGAGAGCAAAAGGGAGGGGCAGAGAAAGAGGGAGAATAGGAAGGGGAGAGAGAGAGAGAGAGAGAGAGAGAGAGAGAATCCCAAGCAGGCCCTGCACCTTCAGTGTGGAGCCCGACTCGGGGTTCAAACTCACAAACCGTGAGACCTGAGCTAAAGTCAAAGTTGGACGCTCAACCGACTGAGCCATCCGGGCGCCCCAGGGCATCCTTTAGTCTAGGGATTCAATATCCTTCAGTCCCAGGAAGGTCATGATACTTGTCCAAGTTTCCCTGGTTGTCCACTATCTCTGCCTCTAAACACCACCTTCCATGTCTCCACCAGTCAGCTTGGGATTCCAAACAATTAAAGAGAAGTAGCTCAGTGAGGGGTGTGAGTAAGCCCCAGCTCCTTCACAGTGCTGTCAAGAATGATGTCTGATTTCAGGATGAACCCTGGCAAACTAGCACATGACATACTGAGGTGTCAAAACAAAGGTCACTGCTGTTGGAACTCGGCAGTGTAAATTACATAAAATCTGACCTTTATCTCTTGTCTCTGGATATAATAGGAAGATCTGTCATTATGTTTGTGTGTGTGTGTGTGTGTGTGTGTGTGTGAGAGAGAGAGAGAGAGAGAGAGAGAGAGAGATGTGAGAGACAGAGAGAGATCCGGATGGGGGTGAGGAGAGCGGGAGGCAGGGAGCAAGTTGACTATAATAAAGACGTACTATTTCTGCACTTGAACCAGCAGGGTAATTAGACACTAGAAGATGTCCCCGAGGGACCTCAGAAATTGTCTATCCCTGGAAATCTCTATAAAGAAGCAAGACGTATTTATTCGGGAACATTCCTGGATGCAGGATGTCAAACTGGGTAACTTCTCAACATCCTTTTCAGATCGGTAATACTCACATGAAAACAAATTAAAACACTCTACTGGTAGGGAAGCCATATTTAAGGTCACAGAAGTTATGGAAGGGGCTGTTCATCCCAGGCAACTCACAGATGAACATTTCGAAATAGGATACTTTTAAAACATTTCCATCTGGGGGTGCCTGGGTGGCTCAGTCAGTTAAGCGTCCGACTTCGGCTCAGGTCATGATCTCACGGTTCGTGACTTTAAGCCCTGCACTGGGCTCTCTGCTGTCAGCACAGAGCCTACTTGGGATCCTTCTCTGTCCCCACCCCACCCCACCCCCAGCCCCGCTCCTCCCCAGCTCGCTCTCTCAAAAATCAACATTTAAAAATAAATCAATAAAACATTTACATTTGGCTTTTGAAAGCCTAATAAAACCTGGGGGCTGTATGAGTTGCTGTATGTCTAATTTTGGCTTGTGGCTGAAATGAAAACATGGGTCCCACAGGACACGTCGGTGTGTGAATAGGAAGTACCAGGGAGTTCCCTTTAGGATTTGAAAATTGGCGGAGACACAAAATGCAAAATGCCTAAATATACAGACAGTCATGCACTTGGGTAGCGAAGATTCACCTCTAGTTTCTGGTCACTTGGCACGACATGCACCACTTACTCTAAAGATGCCAATCCAGTCCTTTCGGCGGGGAATGAACTGCTGGGTGAGTGTATAATAGCATGTGACGTCCCCTCCGGGCACGTAGAACTTCTCCACGCTATTAAAGATGACCTGAGAGAAATGACAGTGGTCCAGCAAGATGGCGGATGTGGGAGGATCCTCTACCGTTTCTTCCATGGTGGGCACCCTGTTATGAGACATGGGATAGAAGGAGGCTCAGAAAGGGTTGTCTCAAATGTGTGAGGGATGTCTGGGAACATTCCATTCGAGGCAAGTCAGGAAAAGGAAAAGCCTGATAAGGACTGAGGTCATACAACTTGCTTTCTGTTTTACTTTGAGCCATTGTGTGTTCAGAGCTTCCTGGGCTACAAGAATTTTCTATGACTGTCTTTGATCTCCACCACAAGCACCGTCACCCTCACATACCTTTATGCTCTGCTCACAGCTAGCTCATTCTGCTTCTAAATGCCTTAAATAAGTAAGGCAGTCTGAAGGAAAACAACCTGAGCTGGGAATAAGACCTAGTTTAGATTTTTCATCTCAACAAGTCCCGTGACTTCCTGAATGTCAATTTCTCAAGATGGCAGCTTCTCTGTTCATTTTCACTTATCCTATAATTATCGTGTCTTTGTATGTATTCAGTCGGCCTGGAGCTGGGCAGGGGTGCGGCAAGAGAGACGGGGCTGAGAGCAGGAGGTTATATGACGGGCAAGGGGACAAGCATGGGTTCTAAAACCAGAGTGAAGTTCAAATTCCAGCCTCGCCGCCTATTCAATGCACGAGCTTGAGCAATTCACTTCATCAGCTGGGCTCTATGCCCAGTTTGCACATGGGTTCGAAAGAGGGAGATAAATAAACTTAAAAAAAAGAGAGAGAGGCAGGGGTGCCTGGGTGGCTCAATTGGTTAAACATCTGACTCTTGATTGTGATCGGCTCAGGTCACTATCTCACAGTTCGTGAGATCGAGCGCTGCATCAGGCTCTGTGCTGACAGTGTGGAGCCCGCTTGGGATTCTCTCCGTCTCTGCCCCTCCCCCGCGCACATGCACACACACACACACACACACACACACACACACACACTCTCTCTCTCTCTCTCTCTCTCTCTCTCTCTCAAAATAAATAAACTTGAAAGAAAAAGTCACCCAAAATTATCTTAAAACAAAAATAAGACAAAATCAAAAACAAAAACCAAAAGAGATACAAACGGTTAGGAAAAAAAAGAAAGGCTTTGAGGAGTGAGTAGAGTTCTGGATGAGTCCTCAAGCAAGATGAACATTTTGACAAGTGGGTTTGGGGGGTAAGAAAACTCCAGGTAAGTGAAATGGCAACAAAACAGAAATGCCACCCATGTTTGCACGACAGCAAGCAAGTTGGATCCCTATACATAAAATTGGGGATAAAACCTGTATTTCATCTTTGCAGGTCACAGTACAGATAAAAACCCAATCAAGGATAAGAAAGTATTTGGGAAGTAAAAACAATATATAAAAGAAACAAAGTCTTTTGAATTGTTGAGACCTGATACTTCCTGCCTCTTTTTTCTTCTAAATGTACCCCCCCCCCCCCCCCCGTCTAACATTTAGTGAGGCCATGACCCTCAACCCAGAGTCACTGGGCAACGGAAACAATATTCAGCTGCACACAGCCGACAAAGGAGAGCTGAATCCACGTGAACACTACACAATATCTTACAAATTTGGCTGCTGGAACATGCTGGAAGATTGTATACTTTCAATTTTTATTCTTATTTATTAAATGTTTTTTTGAGAGAGAGAGAGAGACAGAGTGTGACCAGGGGAGGGGCAGAAAGAGAGAGAGAGAGACATAGAATCTGAAGCAGGCTCCAGGCTGAGCCATCAACACAGAGCCCGACGCGGGGTTCGAACTTACAAACCGTGAGATCATGACCTGAGCCGAAGCTGGATGCTCAACTGCCTGAGCCACCCAGGCGCCCCCATATACACTCAATTTTTAAAAAGAAGTACAATAACCCAAAAACCCCACAGCTCTTCTAGCCCTGCCTGACCCTATTTATTTCCTGCTTTTGTTTCGGACTCTGAGCAACCAGATCTCTTCTTTCAACCCTCCCCATAGGCAATCTGTCACAGAGAAGGAAAGAGGACTCTGGTGGCACTGCACTGCCTCGTCTTGGGACTGAGCTAAGGAACTAAAGAAATGTACTGGCTTTCTGGTTGGTGACACAGTTTAGCCACATCCACAACCTCAAACCTCAGATCAGTTTTTCTGAGGAAGGGGGAGGTCACGTCCCTGTCTTGGTCAGAACTGGTTCCTTGTGATAAGCTGCTGCCTGGGTGACCTCTAGAGTGCTGTGGGTGGGTGGCCATGGAGAACGTTCTCCACGTGCCGGCTCCTACTCTTCCCTAGGGGGTCTCGCGTCCCGCTGAGGTCAGCATATTCCCTCTGTCCCCAGCCTGGAGCAGCATTTACCTGAGCTTGTACAACGACCTAATCTGTGATCTGTGGGTCATAAAGGACATTCAGGTAAGAGTGGCTTCGGGGCCTGTCTCTTAATTACCCTGAGTGCCCTACTCCCTCTTCTACTTGCTTCATAACACGATCGCCCCTATACACAAAGCATAACGCCTAGGCCATGGGAACTGCTGATCAGGGATTCACTGAATGCATGAAATGCATGGGATTCATCAAAAAATCAAAGGAAGGCACACTGTAGGCAGATGACGGGTGTCAATGACAATGGGGCGAATTCTTTTTCAGGCCCCGCTCTTAATTGGTTGGATACCCTTGGAGAGGGTTTCTCAGCTTTCCCTTTTCTAAACCGGGGCGAAGAGATGATTATCTCCAAGGGCTGTGTCAATTCTTGGTATGGCCGGTTCGGCTGGCATAGCTGGTTCAGGTGGCCCGGCGCCAAAAAAACAAAAGGCACAGATTTGATTTCCTTAGGGACCCATAAAATTCACACTCCGTTACCCACCTTCTACGCTCGCTCGAGCTCCGGCAAGCTGTTTTGCAAATGGATGTGAAAGGCAAGAACAGCTGAGGGTGTGAGGGCTTCGTACGGGCTCTTTCCTTACTCGAAAAACCATCAATCTATGAGCTCATGAACAGAACACTGAGGAGAGGACAGGTCACGTGCACGCGCACGCACACACATATATGCACCCACTCACGTTCTGAGGCTTGAGTGGCTAGCTGGTGGAAACTATCTCTTTACGTGCATCTGAACATCTAATCATCAACAGTCTTGGTTCCTCGCTTATCAAAAATGTAAGACCCCATGAAGTTTCCCATTTCAGAGATCTCATCACCCTTCCCGGGCTGACTCAGAGGGCATCTAGTGGCTCTCCACGCATCTGGAGCTCGGCTGTTCTGGAAGAACAGGAAACTCTCCTGTGCCAAGACTGAGGAAGGGGGCGAGGAGGCAGGCAGAGTGGAGAACGGCAATGGGTCTGTTGAGGTCAAAGGTGAGGACAGAAACGGCCATGGGTGAATCTGGAGCATAACCATGCCAATCTGAACTGGGTCAGTAAGGAGGTGGCTCATTTACTTTTTCCCGGGGGGAAGGTATCTACCACTAATTTTTAAGGTCAGTGATCCTCTTTTTTTAAAGTTTATTTTGAGAGAGAAAGAGACACAGCGCGAGGAGGGGAGGAGCAGAAAGAAGGAAAGAGAGAGAATCTCAAGCAGGCTCTGCATTGTCCGTGCAGAGCCTGATGCGGGGCTCAAACCCACGAACCACGAGATCATGACCTGAGCAGAAACCAACACTTGGATGCTCAACCGACTGAGCCATCCAGGGGCTCCAAGGTCAGTGATCCTTAAGCCCTACCCTCCCTCCCAGTGATTAAGTTCCCTGGGAGAAATGGGCTCTGATAATGGCTGGGGAAATTACCTTTCTGACAAAGTAGTCCAGAAATGACTGCTTGTAGAAGGGGCAGGGAGGATACGGAAGGAAAAGTTAGAATGATTTAAGCATCAACTTCCCCTTTTTTATTTATTAAAAAAATTGTTTTAATGTTTATTTATTTCTGAGAGAGAGAGAGACAGAGTGCAAGTGGAGAAGGGGTAGAGAGGGAAAGAGAGAGGATCCCAAACAGCCTCCAGGCTCTGAGCTGTCAGCACAGAGGCTGATGCGGGGCTCAGACTCATGAACTGTGAGATCATGACCTGAGCTGAAGTCGGATGCTCAACCGACTGGGCCACTCAGGTGCCCCCAACTTCCCCTTCTTTAACCAACTGCTCCCCCCCCGCCCCTGAACCTGTCTGCCATCATTTCTAATTCTGACCATCTCCATGGAGGGAAGGAGAAGAAACAGAAAAAGAGCAAGAGTTAAATGTAGAAGCCTGGGGGAGCCTGGGTGGCTCAGTTGGTTAAGCGTCCAACTCTGGATTTTGGCTCAGGTCATGATCTTGTGGTTTGTGAGTTCGAGACCAGCACTGGGCTCTGGACTGACGGTAAGGAGCCTGCTTGGGAATTCTTCCTCTCTTTCTTTCTCTGCCCCTCTCCAGCTCGCTCTCTCTAAATAAATAAATAAGCAACAAAAAAAGGTAGAAGCCTGGAAAGCTATTGAGTCACGAAAGAGCAGTGGGATAATAAATTAGGCCCCCTAGAAATCATGGGCTGGTATTTTACCTAATTCCTTCTTCCTACCCTCACGCCAAAGATTAGCCACATGAGGAGCGACCAAGGCAAACAGGTAGGGATGTCTAAAAGCAAACTGTCGGGCACCTGGGTGGCTCAGTCGGTTGAGTGTCTGACTTTGGCTCACGTCATGATCTTGCAGTTTCTGGGTTTGAGTCCCATGTTGGGCTCTGTGTTGACAGCTCAGAGCCTGGAGCCTGCTTCAGATTCTGTGTTTCCCTCTCTCTGCCTCTCCCCTGCTCTCTCTCTCTCAAAAATAAACATTAAAAAAATAATAAATAAATAAATAAATAAATAAAAATAAAAGCGAACCGTCGATTACGGGAAAACAATGAAGAGATTCAACAAACCATCAGAGGCATTTTACTTGGACTCTGATTTTCAGCTCAGTTTCCAAAAGGATCAGGGTTCCCGGAGAATGTAGGCAATAATAGGCAACGTATTTGAAAATGAGTCCCCCGAACTGGCTTCCAGCTTCTAAGAGAACCTGACATTTTCACCTAATGAGCTTTTCAAGCCTAATATACTACTCCCAGGGCTGTTCCACGAGAGTGTAGCTTCTCTTAGGTTCTCCTGAAAAGGAACAGCTAATTCTACCTCTGCTCTGAGTGATCTATAAAGTAGATGGATATGCTTTTTAGCAGAAAAAAAAATCTAAAAATACTGCAAATCTTCCTGGTTCCGATTCTAAGGATGCAAATACTCAACCAAATCAACTCACCAATTTTTCTAAAGGTTCTCCCTGTGTCTGCCAAACCAGGAAGAAGAACTAATTGTATTAAACAACAACTAAAGTTCTGGCGTAGAGTACGCCCAACATTTTTACATCAGCCTTTTATGCCAGTGGGCACGCGTTTAGAGAAATGGAGAGTATCTGTAGTTTCTCTGGATTCGTGCCCAGAAGGAAACCAAATGTTTCCACAGCCAAGAGAGAAATGCAAACGAATTCTTCATTTGGGAACAGTAAAAACAGAGATAAGCGAAAAAACCCAAACCACATTTCATCCAATCCCCTCATCCTGCTTGTGTAACTTTCGAAACTAGCAGCAATTAGCGAAACGGATGAACTGATTTGAATCCTGCTCCTCCCAGGCCCCAGAAGAGATGCTTACTCAAAGCCACCCTTAGAGAACAGGGACAGTGGCTGCTGTGGGTGTGAGGATGGCCATGAGCAAAGGTAACGTGTGACACAGTCACTGGTCTTCACATTATGGAGCCATTTGTTGTAATCCAACACGTCCAAGTTCAGGGGCGCCGTGAGTGGCTCTGACGGTTAAGCATCTGACTCCTGATTTCGGCTCAGGACGTGATGTCACGGTTCCTGAGTTTGAGCCCCGCGTCAGGCTCTGCACTGACAGCACAGATCCGGCTTCAGATTCTGTCTCTCTGTCTCTCTCTACCCCCTCCCCACTTGCACTTTCTCTCTCTCTCAAAATAAATAAACTTTAAAAATTAAAAAAAAAAGAATATTAAAAAAACAAAACAAAATTTCCAAGTTCGTTCTAGTTCTTTTAAGTTTATTTATTTTGAGAGAAAGAGAAAGAGCACCAGCAGGGGAGGGGCAGAAAGGAGAGACAGAATCCGAAGCAGGCTCTGGGCCAGCAGCACAGAACCCTATTCAGGGCTTGAGCATCAAGACCTGAGCTGAGATCAAGAGGCAGACCCTTGGGGCGCCTGGGTGGCTCAGTTGGTTAAGCATGCACCTTTGGCTCAGGTCATGATCTCACGGTTCGTGGGTTCGAGCCCTGCATCAGGCTCTGTGCAGACAGCTAGCTCAGAGACTGGAGCCTGCTTCGGATTCTGTGTCTCCCTCTCTCTCTGACCCTCCCCTGCTCACGCTGTCTCTATTTCTCTCTCTCAAAAATAAATAAAAAATTTAAAAAAAAAGAGGCAGATGCTTAACCGGCTGAGCCACCCAGGCGCCCCTTGTTCAAGTTCTTATTTTTTTTTCAATATTTTTATTTCTAGGAGAGAGAGAGAGAGACAGCGTGAGCAGGGGAAGGTCAGAGAGAGAGGGAGACACAGACTCTGAAATAGGCTCCAGGCTCCCAGCTGGCAGTCAGCACAGAGCCCGATGCCGGGCCCGAACCCACGAACCGCGAGATCATGACCTAAGCGAAAGTCGGACCCTTAACCGCCTAAGCCACCCAGGCGCCCCAAGTTTTTATTTTTTTTTAATGTTTTTTTTTTTTTAATTTACTTTTCAGAGAGAGACAGACAGACAGCGCAAGCGGGGGAGGGTCAGAGAGAAAGGGAGACACGGAATCTGAAGAGAGGCTCCAGGCTCTGAGCTAGCTGTCAGCACTGAGCCCGAAGCGGGGCTTGAACCCACGAACCGTGAGATCATGACCTAAGCCAAAGTCGGACGCTTAACCGACTGAGCCACCCAGGCGCCCCTCAAGTTCTTTACTTAAAATCTTTCAAGAGTACCTTAGAAAATGTGTGTACCTCCAGGAGGCATTTAATATTCCTCATTAACAACTAGTTGGGATTGGCCACCCGGCTAAGCAGGCCCTCAGCCACACCCCACACCCACAGGCCAGCAGCAGTACCAGGGAAGGAAAGAAAAATAGTTCTGGGAGTTCTGGGAGAGACGCAGGCAACTAGAAAAAATGGTTTGAAAGGCTCAAAGAAAGCCGTGTCCTACACCTCTAACTTAGCGAGATGGTACACTTTTTCCTCGAAAGGGGGGATTGCACTACCCCCTAAAGCAACATGGGCGGCAACAGTGTTTCAAGTGTGGTGGAAAGAGAATGAGGCTTGGCAGGGAGGGGCCTGGGATCCTGTCTTAGCTCTGTCTAACAAACTCTGAGATCTTGGCCAAGTCACACTACCTCCTTTTAGGCCTCAGTACCCTCATCAGAAAAGACGCTTGAGTCAGGCTAGAAAATCTCTTAAGAAACCTTCCAGCTATCGGGATGATCCTAAATGAAAGAAAAAGAAAGTGAAAGAGGTCATCTTAACTGCCTCTCTTTTCATCTAAGGAAAGAAGGAACCGTGCGATTATATCAAGAAGCACAGTTTTTAAAGAGTCTTGGATGGACCGGCTGACTTGAAAGATAATACAGCTTGTCAGTGCTGGGTAACTCTCATCGCCTTTCCCGGGGTCCTTGCACTCTGCAGCTGTCATACCTGCTAAAGGGTAGAGTTTCAGGTAGAGGCCCTTTGAAACTATCTGGGAAACTGAGTCACCTGGATTAGTTCCTAGTCACGTACTCTATATAACCTACAAGATCTACTGAGTTCAGAGTCTGTTTTAAATGGTTTTTGCAAGGGGGGAAGTAAGTTATAATACACGGCATCTCTGTTATTCTACTCGGCTCCAGCAAAGGCCACTTGTCGGCTTGCATCAGGAACAAAGAATCCAAGTGATCGAGAGAAGCTAACATGCCCGGGAGGGGCTGAAATCATAATGGGGGAACATCAGCAACCCCCCTAAATTGGGGTGCTGGCAGCGGTGAGGAGGGGCTACGGGAGACGGACTGTTAAAAAGCAGGTCACTACACTCTTTCTCCTCGGCTGCCTAGAATATCTCGAATTACAGAAGGCCCCTCATCGGAAGGAAAGGGGCTTTAGGGATCAAGCCTACTCAGAGACAGGGAAACTGAGGCCCAAAGAGAAAGTAAGTTGCCTAGAGTGACTGGGCAGAGCCTCGCCTGAGCCTCGAAGCAAAGAGCGATGCTGATGTCGTCCAGGATCGGGATTAAGGAACTACCGAGACCTCAACCCACTGGGGGGGGGGGGGGGGGGGGGGGGGAGGACGCGGTGACGTCGCGACTCTGACTCGCCGTCAGAGGGGTCCCTTCTGCTCAAGGAGCCTGCCACCCGACCCCAAGCTCTGAAGCTCTGCCCTCCTCGGGAGAAAACTGCCCCTCAACTCTCCAAAGCCGCGGAAAGGGGGTCCAGGGGCTCCATGACGCCACTCGCACTTACTGTCACCCTAGAAAAGATGGAAGGTGGTGAAAACCGAAACTAGCCCCACCTCTCGCCCAAGGAGCCTTCTCAGGAGTGGAAGTCTGAATTTGGGGAACCCGAAGGCTCAATGGCCCCTAATTACCCTCTTTCACTCCAGGGACTCACCGGGGGTAGCAGCCGGCGTCGGCACAACAGCAACAGGGCAGGGCAAGGGATAGGGGCGGGGCTAAAAAACTAGGGCGGGGGGGAGCAGATCCCGTCTGATCCCGCCCACTACGTCACAACGGCTACCAAGCTCCGCCCTCGCCGCAGTGCTTATTGGGACTTGTAGTGCTCAGGTGATGGGCCCTCAGGAGCGCTCCGCGGCAGTACGTGGTTTTCGCCCACCCCAAACAGCATTCTCACCCCAAGGAGCCTATTTCTTCCCCTAGAATGAATCGTTTACTCACCCTTTAAAAGAAAAAACACCAAAACTTTATTTCTTTCAGTCCTGAACGAGACAGGGCCATCGAGAGGTCATGTACATTTTTCTCCTACCTGCACATAGCACTTACTTGACTAAGGGTCTTATAGATGAGACCTCCTTTGGCATTTAATCGTGCCTCCCGCCCGCCCCTAAATAAAGGAGATCCAGTAAGCCCTCTATGTGCCCCAGTTTCTGTGTTTCATCATTCCCTTTCTATAATGAAATTGTTTTTTAGTGTTAACTCTGTCAAGGTAGTTCTTACTAATTGCTGTAAGAATTAACTCAGAATCCTGCAAAGTCAACTTAGAGGGAATTCTTCACCCTTGATAGCTGATCAAAGTCCTATCTCAGCAAGAATCCTGTTAGGGCACTTCAGCTGGAATTCCCTCCCACCCCCTTGATGTCTCTTTTTAGTAATTTTTCATGCACTTGTCCTTATGGTATTTGGAATCGAGCACACAATCTGTCTCCTCTATTGTCAAGTCCCTGTGGCAATAGTCCTGGATAAAGTCTCTTTTATGGGTTTAACAAGTGTCAGAATAATCATTTCTTGAATTTTTCAATTTAACTGCACATACTTTTCTATGGACACTTAAATTGAGAAGTGTCTCTTCTCTAAGGACTTGCATCCGTCTAAATCTGGAAAGAAACTGTTCCATGCAGTCTAACGGGGGAATCTATGCCCCTGAAGCCGCTTTACATTTCAGGTAGGGGAATGAGCCTTCCTTATCCTGTCTTCTCTCAAGACTGGTGGCATTCACCTGAGATGAATGCGTGGTGGGAAATAATGAGTAAAGCAGAGACTGAGGCTTCTTTTGAAAGTTCAAATCCCCTTCTGAGTTACCAAAATTATGCTTTTCCATTTTAAACTCTGTCTGCAGGGATAAGTGCCCTTGGTATCCTGGGTATATTTCCCTTAATTTTACTCAGTAACTTTTTCAAAAGCCCTGAGAACTGACATCTCCTACCCCTCCACACCTTAATGTCTATATTAACACAACTATTTCATGACACTCTTGTGTGGAAGTTAAAAATGCGAATGAATCCATTGTGCATTTTACGAACTGCCTAAAAGAAACACCGACTATTCTATAGAAAGCATCACATAATGACAGACTCTAAGAGTCCTTGGCCTGAAAATCCTTGCTTGGCTGTGTCTACCCATCCTAAGCTATTATATCATGACCCATACCCTCCCCTAATCAACTTTTGCCTCTACTTTTGCATTGAAAGATCTACCCCTCCTCCCCAAATCAACTTCACTCGCAGTAAACACCACTATTTTGTCCTTCTACCTCTGAGCTGCTGCTACAACTTTGTCAAGAAAGTATTCTTGTGGGGCGCGCGAGTGGCTCAGTCAGTTAAGCATCTGACTCTTGATTCAGCTGAGGTCTTGATCTCAGGATTGTGAGTTCAAGCCCTACATTGGGCTCTGTGCTAGGCACAAAGACTACTTAAAAAAAAAAAAAAAAAAAAAAAGAAAGGGGCGCCTGGGTGGCTTAGTCGGTTAAGCGTCCGACTTTCGCTTAGGTCATGATCTTGCGGTTCGTGGGTTCGAGCCCCGCGTCGGGCTCTGTGCTGACTGCCAGCTCAGAGCCTGGAGCCTGTTTCAGTCTGTGACTCCCTCTCTCTCTGACCCTCCCCTGCTCACGCTGTCTCTCTCTCTCTCTCCTAGAGATAAATAAAACATTAAAAAAAAAATAATAAAAAAAATAAAAAAAAAAAAAGAAAGACTCGCTTCTTCCTCAGTAAGGTAAGAATGATCTCAGTTTTGTCTGAGATCAACAGGTTGTTTCATTGATATTTTGGGAGGCTAAATTCGATGGCATGGAATAAAAAAAATTAATTAGTTTCTGATTTATGTCCAATAAAAGTGTTAAGGGCAGGTTGCTGGGAGAACCCTTTGTAACTGGATATTGAAGGAATGACAATCGATATTCAGACCTATGGAGAAAATCCTCGACTCCTAGCTTCAAGTGTTAGGAATGGAGACAAAGCCTGGGAGTGTGGGTAGTTACTCTGTGCCTGACACCGTGGATTTTCTCATTCAATCCTTACAAGGGAAGCACTTTTATACCCTTTTCACAGATGAGACAATTGAGGCTTAGAGATGTAAAGGAGGTTACTCGTGCAAGCTCACCCAGATAGTGAGTGCCATCAGAAGGCTCTGAACTGAACATTGTGACTCAAATGACTGTGCTCTTAATCACAACACTCATCATTTTCTTCGTGAGTGTTCCATAATCCATAAGGGAAGACAAACGCATAAATGAGTATGATACCACTTGATAGTGCCTTTAGAAGGGGAATTTACATAGTGCTATGGTAGCATAGAATTAATTTTTCCTAGGGGCAAGAAAGAAGGTTTCATAGAAGTGTTAAAGAAAAAAATCATTCTGAAGCCTATTAAAACAGAAAGGAGAACTTTATTTGGGACTATTGCAATATGAGCATTACAAACGGGGAGAGAGATTGTGCCCAATCCCAAAAACAGTCAGGACAAGAGGGGGTTTACAGCCATCAAGCAGAATAAGGGAGGCAGTGGTGGAAAATTACTAAGAGGAGAAGACATCAAGAATGGGGGGTTCTTGCTAAAGTGATTTAATAGAATTCTTGGTGAAGGCAGGCTAGGGATTGATCAGATATCAAGAGTACGGATTCTTTTTTTTTTTTTTTAGTTTTTAAATTAAGAAAACTTTTTAACGTTTATTTATATTTTTGAGAGACAGGGAGAGACAGAGCATGCGCAAGGGAGGGGCAGAGAGAGAGGGAGACACAAAATGAGAAGCTGGCTCCAGGCTCCGAGCTGTCAGCACAGAGCCCATGGTGGGGCTCGAACCCACAAAGCAAGATCATGATCTGAGCTGAAGTCGGATGCCTAATTGACTGAGCCACCCAGGCACCCCTCAAGAGTAAGGATTCTTGGGGCACCTGGGTGGATCAGTCAGCGTCTGACTTCAGCTCAGGTCATGATCTCATGGTTTGTGCTTCCAAGCCCTGCGTTGGGCTCTGTGCTGATAGCTGGGAGCCAGGAGCCTGCTTTGGATTCTGTGTCTCCCTCTCTCTCTGCCCCTCCCCCGCTTGCAGTCTCTCTCTCTCTCTCTCTCTCTCTCAAAAAATAAACATTAAAAAAAAAAGAGTAAGGAATCTCTTTAAGCCGATTTAGGATTTTTTGCTGAAACCGGACTTGAAAGCAGACCTCAACTACCTCCATTTTGACCTCAGTCTGTACTTTCTAATTAATTTTTTCTTTTCCTGCTTATCTCTTACTTTGGACAAAAGACCCTGCAGGCAAACCATCGGGATGGGAACCAAACCTACCCCTTCAAGCAAGAACGACTGCCCCACCCAGCAGTGACTCCGAGACAAGGATGACCTGACCTTCACTTTCCACCTGCAGTACCCACTGACCTTTGTCCCACATGTCCTTGCAAAACCTGGAAGTATTTTCAGCACTTTGGAGACCATCTTTGAGAGGGTCCACTGTCTTCCTAGTATTGGCCTCCCTGAAATAAATTCCTTTCTTGTTCCACCACCTGCCTTTGCATTTTGTCAGTGGCCAGTGGCTGAACCTGGTCTGTTTGCCCCACCCCCACCCCCCACCCCCAGCCAGGCGCCCTTGCGCCCCTGCGCCCCAGCCGCAGACTTGGCAAAGGCAGACACAGAAGCCCAAGGTTGAAGCCTAGTCAAGAAAGGGGCTCAGAGGGGCGCCTGGGTGGCTTAGTTGGTTAAGCGTCCGACTTTCACTTAGGTCATGATCTTGCGGTTCGTGGGTTCGAGCCCCGCATCAGGCTCTGTGCCGACTGCCAGCTCGGAGCCTGGAGCCTGTTTCAGTCTGTGACTCCCTCTCACTCTGACCCTCCCCTGCTCATGCTGTCTCTCTCTCTCCTAGAAATAAATAAAACATTTAAAAAAAATTTTAAAAAAAAGAAGAAAAAAGAAAGGGGCTCAGAGAAGCCTAACTAAAGTTTGGTTAAAGAGAGAGTCTTTGTCAAAGGTGACGTTTGATTTATTTTGAATGACATGCTTGGCCAGCAGAAAAAGGGAGGAAGGAGAAATCTGACCCGGAGAGAGGGAGTAGTCAGTCATCCGCAATAGTGCTCTCCAGTAGAATTCTCGGTGCCGATGGGCAGTGCTCGATAACTGTGCTACCTGATCTGGTAACCGCTGACCACATGTGGGTATCGAGCACTTGAAATGTGGCTAGTGCAACTGGGAACTGGGTTCTTTACGGAGTATTAATTTATTTATTTGGAGAAAATAAAATTTAATAGACTATGTAGGTAAGGGTGGGGAACCCACACAGACGATGGAAATTCACCATCAGGTTGAAATTTAAATATACATATGTGATCACCGTCCTGGCTGGTGCAGAGCAGAGCCATGGTATCTGGGTGACAGGGGGGTGGACTACAGGAAGGAGAAGCAGGGGGCAGCCTGCACCCCTGCCCTCAGCTGCAGCCCTTCCCAGCTCTAGCCCCCGGCAATGACTCTGGCATTTGGAGTCTCAACTCCATGGAAAAAGAGAACCTTGTCCCTGAAACTCTCTGTCTCTGCAACCACCTAAGACTGTAAAATTGGATGCCTCACAAAGTACGGAGAGTTTTGGGGCGCCTGGGTGGCTCAGTCAGTTGACTGTACGACCTTGGCTCAGGTCATGATCTCGCGGTTCGTGAGTTCGAGCCCCGCGTTGGACTCTGTGCTGACAGCTTAGAGCCTGGAGCCTGCTTCAGATCGGTGTCTCCCTCTTTCTCTGTTCATGCTCTGCCTGTGCTCTGA